GCCAGTTCCCATTCTTGCAGGAACAGCCTCCAATGCTCGGCGCAGGAGCCTTGCTCCTTGGCTTTTAATTCACACGCTGCGGTGGCAGTTGGTTCCAACACCCAGGCTCCAGTGACCATGTGACCAGAACTTGCCAATCAGAGCGTCCCATCCCTCTGGCCTCAATGAGGCCCAATCAGAATGAGTCCGAGCAAAATCCTGGGGCCGTGTCCAGAGAGCTCTAAAAGCTGTGCGCCCCTTGCAGGGTGCTCGAACCTAGAAGGAGGGGTTGGGGGGGGCGCCCCTGCAGAAGGCCTTTCTGTCGCAGACCAAACAGAGAGAGGAGGAGAGGCAGGCTCTGGAGAAGCTGGATCCAGCCTCACTCTGGGATTTTTCAGTGACATAAGATAAAATTTCCTTTGTATCCACCCCCCTCCTCCAGCCAGTTGGAGTTGAGTGTCTGCTGTTAGCCAGAAATTTGTTTTCATGGCTGAGGACGAACTGTAAGGCTCAGGTTCAGCCTTGTCTCCAGACTAAGAGGAGGGCCTCCCTTTGACTCTCAGGATCCCTCAACAGGTTCTGAGCAGCGGCTGGGGCTGACTTTGCATTTCCTCTCCATCAGAGCCGGGGTGGGGTTTGGGGGGGTGGGCGTGGGCGCCTTGAGGCATGTCCCTCAAGGACAGAGTTACCAGACGCCCTTCCTTTGTGCTCTCCTTCAGATCCTTAAAGCCACCGGCAGGGTGAGCTGGACTTTTCAGGCTTGGCAAAGAGGCAAAATGGACCGAATTCGGTAGTGAAAATAAAACCGTAATGCAGGGCTGTGGAGCAAACCCTAAGGACTCTCGGGACCTTGCCTTGCAGAAACCCCTTGCCCTTTTCCAGCTCTACATCTTTTTTTCCCCGAGGAAGAAATGGAAGTCTGCTGAAAAAATCAACCAAGATCATGAACTCCATTCATTTGCAATATTCCTTAGGCGTTCTGGTTGACCTTTGGACTCACGCTTAGCAGTGGCCATATTTAGCCAACCAGCACAGGTTGCGAGCCTTTGCTGAGAGTCTGCATTTGAAAGGGTTATGAAGAGGAAAAAGCTTAGGATCTCAAATGGGAATACTCTCCAGGTAACCTAAAGCAGGTCACTGCCCCTCTCTGAGACTCCTCACGTGTAAGATGAGGATAAAAATCCTTGTCCTGGGATGAGGGATGTTGAGGCAGTAACCACAACTACAGGAAAGAGGGGTTCGTAACCACTAGTATGGAGGTGATCTGGGTTCCATAGAGTTGTTGTTTTTTTTAAGATTTTATTTATTTATTTGAGAGAGAGAGTGAGTGGGAGGGAGAGGGAGAGAGAATCTGAAGCAGACTCCACACTGAGCGCAGAGCCCGAAGCGGGCCTCGATCCATGACCCCAGGATTATGACCTGAGCCGAAATCAAGACTCTGACGCTTAACTGACTGAGCCACCCAGTCACCTGTGGGTTCCATAGAGTTTTCACACTTAACCTTTGTGCTTGGCTAAAGGCAGTGTGAATGAAAAGCATGATACAAATATACGGGGATTATTATATTCCCCTAATTTCCTTTCTGCTCATTCCATGCATTTCTTGCCTTCCTAATATATTAAATTCTTTTGATAAATATGTATTTACTACATATGCAACCCTGTGCTAGGTGCTGAGGATATAACTATGAAAACACAGATGTGATCTCAGCTTTTATGGAGCTTATAGTCTGGCGGGCGGGGGGTGCTGCCCAAAAAAATCCTGCACAAAAATAAATGTTTAATGACAAATGTGGTAAGTCCTATGATGGAAAAGAATGGAGGGAACTGAGAGAATAAAATCAGGGACCCCGCTGTGGGTAGTTGCCGGGGGGTGGGGCAGTAATGGGAGCCCTTGCGAGTGTAAGGTTCGGTCTGAGACCTGCAGAATGAACTAGAGTCGGGGCTTCAGTGGGTGAGAAGAGGGGTCCAGGCAGATGCATCAGCAGGCATGAGGGCCAAAAGGCAAGAAAGAGGGAGCAGGTAGAGCGCCTGGGCGGCTCAGTCAGTTATGCGTCCCACTCTTGGTTTCGGCTCAGGTCGTGATCTCAGGGTCCTGGGATCAAGCCCAGCGACTGGCTCTGTGTTCAGTGGGAAGTCAAGTTTGCTGGAGAGTCTCTCCCTCTCCCCCTTCCCCCATGCTCATGCTCTCTCTCTCAAATAAATAAATAAATCTTTAAAAAAAAGAAAGGAAGAAAGAGGGAGCAGGCTCTGGTTGCCTGAGGACAGAGCCTGGGTCCTCTCCTTTATGCACCATCTCCTATTCCACTATGCCCCCCAACTCCCGACCTCCAGGGCTGCTAGCCCAGCACTGGGCACAGAGCTGGGCTATTTGCAGGGAGAATAACATGGTAGTACTTAGGGCTGTTCGCCTACAGTCGTCTTTGCCTCTTTCTAAGCACAAGTTTGGGTTGTCTTTCCAACCCTGTTCAAGTTAGGCATGGACAGGTGACTTGCTTTGGCCAGTGGGGATATGGAGAGAAGTGACGTGGGTCACTTCCTGGCAAAGCTTTTAAGATGGAGTGCTTGAATTGCCACTTTTCCTTCTACCTGCTACAGGCTGGTATGTTCCCAAGTGAAGGCTCTATTGCTCTGGGTCCCCAAGGGAGGGGAATGCAAAACAGACCCCCTGCTAATCCAGATAGACATGAAATATGGTTCAGAAATACACCTTTGCCGTGCTCAGCCACTGAGATTTTGGTGTGTTTTGGTTACAACAACATTGCACCGATTACAGTACCCTGATACGAATTCCAGTAGTATGATCATGATGATTAAAACAGACAGTGATTGAGTGCTTCCTAAGATGCACAAGTGAGACTATAGAGAAAATGAAAAAGGGGGGAGAAAAATCAGCATGAAGGCTGTTAATGAGGTCGCTGCCACAGGACAGTGAGGGCTCAACTCCCTGAACTTTGGAGCGTGCTGACTGCCTTCTAGAACTTGGGGGCCACAGGACAGGACTCTGGAGAACTTAGCCCCCGATTCCATCCTCCGTTGCTTAAAGGCTGGCCCAGTGGTGCTTCCTGTCTTCCACGTCCACACTGCACCTGCAGATGGGCTCAGTAGGACCCCCCTGACTTTGAAGGAGATTGTAATACAGAAAAGGGGGAAACACTAAGAATGTCCTGGAGGGTAGGACTCTGCAAGCATGCACAGAACTGCCCACCGCTTCTGGTGAAATAAGAGATGGAATCAGACACAGCCCGAGGGAGCATGACACAGGACCCTGAAAGTAGCCTGCTGCATTACCACCTCACCTCTCGGTCTGTGTTTTGAGAAGAGCCTGGGGGACGAGGTCACAGATGCAGAGAATGCAGCTCCAAGTGCAGACCGTGAAAATCTAGGAAAGGTGCTGCTTCAGGGACTAGGATTAGTGGGTTCTGAAACAGCTCCTCCAAGGAGCCCTCTGGGATTCCCTCTGCTAGTGTACTCTTGCCCTCTTATGAACTCCCCTCTGAACTCTTGCTGCCCCCAAGTAGCGCTATTTAGTCTGCCCATGACTGCCCACAAATCTCCCTTACTCTCTTATCGTATATCTGGAAGCAGAACTCACACCAGATTCATCTTTGTGGCCTCACTGTGTCTAGCTCATGGCGAGCAAACAATAGTTACTTTTTTTGAGTGAATGGACAATTAGCACCAGTAGAACTGTCCATTTTCCTCTTCTTCTGTGAGAATCGTTGACCACGCACGAATCATAAAAAAACGGTCAATATTTATAAAGTTCTTCCTGGCTTGTGTTAGCAAACACTTTTACAGCTATTTCCATTCCACTTATGGCAGAACTGAGGCTGAAGAGGTGAAGTATCCCAAGGTCACACAGGTGGGAAGAAGCAAAGCAAGGATTTGAACCAAGGAAGCTGACATCATGTTGAGCGCTCTTCTCTGTCTCCTAGGCAGGACGAAAAGGGCACCAGGAGATGATGAAATACTCAGTTGATTTCTAGGTCCTCAAAAGTTCTGTTTAAGTCTCAACAAAACCCTCTCCCCAGCTAGCACCATTTGGCTAAAGTTATGTTTTCAATCTTGTTTTGCAACCCCACTGTGGTCCATCATATCTGGACAATTTTTCTTAGAAAGGGGCAAGTGCTTCCTCAGAGTGAGGGCCCCACCCATGCACATCAGGCCAAAGCCTTTTGTTAGATTCTTCCCCGAAGCTGGATTATTATTCTTTCTGGCATTTGACACAATTGCAATTTTACATTGATTTTGTTCTTGACTCTTAAATTCATTGTCTTCTTCACAAAACTCAAAACTCCACAAAGGCAGGAACCATCAAGACCTCAAAGAAGCCTACAGACTTGCCTCCCAGAATTTCCTTCCTAAGGACAGGAAGTCCTGGAAGTCACTGGTAACCAATGGCAGCCCACTTTCCACTGAGACCCCTGTGCTCCTGCTTCTGTCCTCATTTTGGGAAGCAATCAAGTGAAAACAGAGAAATAGGGAGTGCAATTTCCAGTATCCAGCAAAGTTCCTGGCATTTAGTGGGCATTCAGCGAATACTGGATGAATAAATACATGGATGGATGGATGGATGGATGGATGGATAAATGGTTGGATGGGTGAATGGAAGGGTGTTGACATGGAAATATTTTGAGGTGGGCTGGAGCTGAGGACAGCCCTGTACCCATCTAGGGGAGAGATGGACTTGGGGAGTGTGGGTGGCCTCACCCTGGCATTTGTCCACTGCCCCTAAGGGACACTTTGGGGGAGATGAGACAGGCTTGGGTGGCACTAGAGGACTCCCTGAGTCTTCTGAAGCCCCTCTCCACCCCCACTTCCTCACTGGCATGAAAGGCAACTAAACCTGGTCCCAGGGTCAACGTCCTGGCCCAGAGCCTTGAAGGAAAGCGTGAGGCTCAAACCCAGGCAGCCAGGGGGAGTTCCTCTTCCTGGACCCACTTAAGTGCAACAGAGGCTCAACTGGAAACTAAAGTAAAAGTGAATAAGAAAGCCACACTGTGTACCTAATGAATTTTTTTTTTTTTTGTGGTTTAGGTTTTATTTCATCATCATCAACTGAGCTCTGCCATCCAGCTAGACCTGGGGAGAAGGAACCATGGAGCCCGCAGAACTGCAGCGAGAGCACAGAGATTCTGGGGTACTTCAAGCAGGTGGGGGTGGAGGGGTGCTCTCCCGAGCTACACAAGGAATGGTCTGGTAGTTAAGATAAAACACGAGTCGGATTTCCTAGATCTGTCCACAGTCAGCAATGGTGATCTTCTTGCTGGTCTTGCCGTTCCTGGACCCAAAGCGCTCCATGGCCTCCACGATGTTCATGCCCTCTTTGACCTTGCCGAAGACCACGTGCTTGCCATCCAACCACTCAGTCTTGGCAGTGCAGATGAAGAACTGGGAACCGTTCGTGTTGGGTCCAGCGTTGGCCATGGACAGGATGCCAGGACCCGTGTGCTTCAGGATGAAATTCTCATCATCAAACTTCTCCCCATAGATGGACTTGCCTCCAGTGCCATTATGGCGTGTGAAGTCCCCCCCCCCGGCACATAAATCCCGGAATAATCCTGTGAAAGCAGGAACCTTTATAACCAAATCCTTTCTCCCCAGTGCTCAGGGCACGGAAGTTCTCTGCTGTCTTTGGAACTTTGTCTGCAAATAGCTCGAAGGAGACGCGGCCCAAGGGCTCGCCGTCCACGGCGATATCGAAGAACACGGTGGGGTTGACCATGGCTGGGCCGCGAAGGCGGCTCCGGGTCGGTGGCGTCTGCAAGGCCTACCTAATGAATTTTTTAAATCAATTATGAAACAGTCTTATTGATCATATGTTAACATCTTGAAACTTTCACAGATTAATTTCATTAAACAAACTCTCACGGTCTGTTAACTCCATAAATGTGTTTTAAATCTGTTTTCAAATGCAGCAATAAGCTGTGTTGCGTGTGAGCGCGTGCGCCGTTCAGTCTGGCCTTTCTGAAATCGGCTGCTCTACATTTGAATGGGGCCCACCCGCCCATTCACAGAAATGCTGCCTGTTCGCCTTGTCCGTGTCAGTGTCCGTCCTCCTATCCAGGGGGTACAGTTGCTCAGGCTGTCTGTCCCTGGTGGAGAGGCTGCTTAAAACTGCCAGCCAGCTCTTCTCCTGGGGCAGTTAGTGACTGATGACGGTGGCAAGCGGCACAAAGAGAAAGGGACAATGTGAATGCAGCCACCCTGGACCCAAAAGGCAAAGAGACCCAGGAATACGAGTCGTGAGGCCTCACTAATGAGGGACACCGAGGCAGTCACCCAATGCGCGGTTCCCTGGAGAAGCGGCCAGCGGTCCTGTTGACAACGTACTGTGTTCTCTTTTAAGCCAGTGACAGGGGGACAATCAGTGGGAGGGGGCTCTGCCAGGCCCGTGAAGTACACTGCTCAGCCATTTTAACTGTGGCCAAGTCCGTTCCTGAGCTCTGTTTCAGGCACCTGTTTGGGGAATGATGCAGAGATCCTGGAAAGAGGCCAGAGGGAGGCAGAAATCACGTGAAAGTGTTGAAAAGCAGGATTCAAGGAGCTAGAAGTATTTTGCCTTTTGAGGGGGGAAGGGCCGGCGGGGCCAGGATGTAGAGAGCCTGGAGGGGCTTGCTGACTACCCACTTTCCAGTCTGCGGACAGCTTTTGTAAGACCATCACCAGACTTCTTATGGAAGTGGAGATTCATGGCTATTTGGTTTTGTTTTGCTCTGTCTTTTGAAGCAGGAGGGAATTAAGTTAGATCTGAGGAAGGCTGACTTGAAGTCAGGGTAATTTATCACAGCCATGATCCTGGGACCAAGGTTGTAGAATCCGTCCCGTCCTGAAAACCCTGAAGAACCAATCAGACATGTCTGTCTTCTGCACAGCAGGTCCAGCCTTCACTGCAGCCTGGAGACTCTGTCTGATCTGATAAATAAAAACAAAACAAAACAAAAAACATTAAATTTTCTTGTTTCCCATCTTCTATTTCTACATAACCACATTTCTCATAGTCGAGTATAGATAGCTGCATTAAATTTTTATTTTTATTTATTTTTAATTTGTATTTTTCAATAAAGTGGGTTTTTTTTGTTTTTTTTGTTTTTGTTTTTTTCTACTGACTATGCTCACTGCAGGTAATTTGGAAGAAAAGAAAAATAGGAAACAAGAAAAATCGAGATAATCATTGTTAGAGTTTCCTCCTTTCCTCTCTGGACACATAAATACATAGAATTGTTCTATGTAAAGGCTTATACCTTGATTTTTTAAAAAATTTAACTCCGATTCACATTTATTTTGTCATGTCATTACAAAAACCTTCAAACCCTTTTCTATATTACATAGTGTGTTTTTCTTTTCTGTTAAATGAAATACAAAGCAAAACAGTATTTCAGAATGACCTGATAGGAGAAAGTAAAGGTACCATGCCTCCCATAAACCCCTCTTCAGAGATAATTTCTGTGAACGGTTTGGAGCACATTCCATGAGCCAAAGCATTTTTGATGGCTGTATAATATCTCTTCAAATGGATACACGCCACTCTATTTACTTCTTGGCCTCCATTGTTAAACATTTATATCTTCAGGTTTTCACTGAATTTCGGGTCTTCACTTACTGTGTATTTGTTTACACATTAAGTAACTGTTGGGAAGCTCTGTGTGCACTGTTCTTGGTCACGAGAGTATAGTAGTGAACAAAACAGACAAGAAGCTGCGACCACAGAGACCTTACAATTTAGTAATGGAAACCTGACCGTAAATAAGTAAAACATAGAGTGTGTTGGATGGTGGTAGGTGCCATGGAGAAAACTTTGCAAAAAATGGTAGGTCTGGGTGGATGGGCTGCCATGTTCACTCCTGGGCCTGAGCAGAGCTCCAAGTCTTGACCTTGAGTTTATGACCCTGGCTCATCCCCACAGTAGTCCTGTGAAGGTTCCATACCTTCCTCCTGAGACAACACTTATGGACACCTGATACCCGACTTCCACCTTCCTCCTTTCCCATCCCTGTTCGGGTCGAGTCTGGAGAAATTCTACCTCATGCTCTTTCCTCCCCAGGAAAACATCGCAGGAACTAAAATTCGTATCAGCCTGTACTTGACCTGCGTTCTCACCTGCACGAATATATATCACGATTATAATAAGGCAGGCCGGCTGGTAGAGACCCAGATCCCCACAACCTGAGCCAAGTCACTTCCTTAGGACCCCAACTCTGCCTCCTCAGAAAGCAGTGTCTCTGACTGAGCCTTCCGCAGTCTTGAGGTTGGTGCGGGTGACAGCGTGATTCCAGGGGGCCAGGGTCCGGGATGGGCCACATGGCTTTGTCTAGCCGTCAAAGGAGCCCAGAGGCATAGTACCTTCCCTGGGTCTGTGGGAAGAACGTATTTTCACCTGCGCTGTGTCCAGGCCTCACCGTCCATCTGACAGGAGACAGCGCGGCCCTTCACCCAGGTGCCCTGAGGCGCATCCCAGCTGCCCAGCCCTGAACCCCCAAGCAGTGCCTGTCCCAAGCCTTCCCCACATTCAAGGACAGCCATCGTCGGCTCAGAACACCAGTTAGGGTTAAAGAATCTCTTAATGTTTCAAGGAAGGCCATCAGACAATTGGCGCATTGGAGCATTAAAAACAATGTCAATTGGATACTTTTCAGAATACAAAAAGAAAAATGGTTTTTTAAAGCATTAAGTGAGACAAGACAAAGCTGCGTAAAGAAAAGCCGTCTGGCCACCTGTTCCTACACCACCCTCGGCCAATGGCCAATGTTCGTGGGCATGAGGCCTTCCACACTGTTCTCCTTCTCCCACACCTGTCCCCAAACACGTGTGAACATACCTCAGAGTTTTATTTGTTGTTTTCATGGAAATGGAATCCTACTTTATAAGGTTTTCTCAACCCATCCTGCTTTGAATGCTTGATGGCTTTACAAGTCAGCTAATCTGAGTCTACCTCCGTCTTGGTGTTTGTTGAAGTTTATATGCACCCACACACATGTGACTTGCATATGTAAGGCCTTATCACATACGCTGATTTTCAGCGCAGGCTTTCTTTTTCACTTGCTTCTCCCCTCAATTCCCCCACCGACGACTCGTGCTAGCAACCTGTTTTGTGTCCTTCTCTACCTTTCTCAAGGCTTAGAGAATCATACACAGACATACAAACATAAACACATGTATGAACTATATACATATATACCCCCTCTGCCTCCTGCATTTCTCCCTCACCCCTGTCTCGTGGAAATCCATCCCCCAATTCTGACAATGAAGGCCTCATTCCCCTATAGTGGGCATGAACCCTTATTTGTTTGGCCATTCTTCTACTGATGAGAGTTCATTTGATTTTTAATTTTTATTTTTGGCAACAAGGAACAATGCTGTGCGAAACATGCTTCTGCGTTTATATGTAGATCCGTATCTTTAGGAAATTGTGCTTTTGTTTCCATGGGATAGATTCCCAGGAGTGGAAACTCTGAGACTTTGGGATCATTTAAGGCTCAAAAAGGAAAATATGAGAGAAGGAAGACAAGTGATGCATGTGGTCCAAGCCCCAAGCTCGGAGCTTCTGATGTTGGGACATTTTCAGTGATTTAATTTTTCTGCCCTCATTCCTAAATGGGTCAGAGTGTTCCTTCCGCCTCCTGTAGATAGTCAGAGCAAGGAGTCCCACAGCTATTCAAATGCTCCCTGAGGCTAATACAGGGAAAAAAAGTACTGGAGAAGGGGGCAGGGGCCTCTTATTAGCCCGTGACCTTGAGAATCCACCCGGACTCTCTGCACACCTTTTATTCTCCTCCACTGCAAAGGAAGCCCTGTCGGTCTGGGTAGATCTCCCCAGAGGGCTGCTGGGGATCCCCATGAGGAGGTGAAGGCGCAAGTACCACACCCTGGGAAGGGTGGACGCTGTTAGCACCGGCTTGAACTTGCTCTCGGAGGCCTTGGCAGAAGCCCTGTTACAACCCAGCCGTCCTCCCTGTTGCCCGCCCGCTGCCGTGGTCTCAGCTGGGCTATTCGGCCTCACTTAAAGTTACTGCTTGGAACATTGGTTCTTTCTTGCCCTTGTTGGGAAAATTACTGCAACTGGATGGAACAACCACCTTCCATTTTAGCGTCAACAAATGAATGAGTCATGATGGGTGAGAAGGAAAAACATAAATGCTTAGGGTGGCTGAAGGAAAAAAAATCTTTGTTTGAAACAGGCTGATACAATCTCCACCCATTCATTTGGCCACGTTGTTCATTAACCATGTGGCTGGACCAGGATGAGCGGAGGGGTGGAGCAGGCTGAGGGCAGGGCCGTGTCTCACACTCGTCCTGTGTATACAATGGGAGCATGGACAAGAATAATGTGTTGAAATCTGGCATCACGCTTTACCCCAGGTCCTGGCACCTACACGGATATGTGCCATTGATTTGTAACACTGTCATCGGTTCCATAACCTGCGGGTAAAGGGTGGAGACAGATACAGCATGAGGCACGTTTGCTTTTAAGCCAATTGAGGAATGCTTAGTTTCACTGAGAGGGAAGGTAGTTCTGTCCGTGCAGTCGGCTTTATGGAAATGGTCCCTCCATATTTATCAAAATCTCAGAGACGTCACAGGGCTTCTTGGAAAGAACTGGGATGAGAGAGGGGACCTGGTCTCTGGTCGTGGCTCTGCCACCAAATAACTTGAGGACCTTCATGGAAGTAACTCACTTCTCTAGGCCTCAGTTTACCCACCTGGAAACTAAGGCCATTAGACTGGATGAATTCCAAAGCTACTCTCCGGTATGAAACTCTAAGTAT